AATCCTGCTTTGTCAAGGCAGGATACAGAAATGATGTTTCTGCTCATACTAGGTACAAACAGACAATTATTCAAATGCAATATAAGACCACTAGGTAGAGATAAACTATAGGTTCCGACGGCCAATGCATAGACGAGTGCGCCATTGCCGACTTTTAGTTGTATCTCTCCCTCCGTCAATTGTCTACATTCATGCAAGTTCTGCATAGAAGTACAGATGTGGGAACCACATCCAGTATCCATCACCCAAGAGGTGATATCAGACATATTGACTTCGATAACGTAAATACTTGAGTTTTGGGGCTGACCCTGGTAAAGGTCTCTTAAGCATTGTATCATAGGACGCACTTCCATGTCCACGTGGAGCCTTTGGAGCTTCGCTGTCATACTGGCCATAATGATACACTTTACATCTCGCGCGTCGTCCTCATACTTCTTGAAGGAAGTGAGTTCGGACACACGAGAATTTGCATCAGGGGTCTTGGGAGGATTCGTTTTGATGATGTAGAGTTTCCTCTCATAGTTAAGAACGATTCGGAGATTCATCTCCCAGTCAAGAAAGTTGGTCCCGGATAACTTGTTGTTTTCCAGGATGTAACGCAGGTTGAAAGGGTTGTTGTTGTTTGCCATCTACAGAAAAGTTTGCAAACTAGGTTATCTATCATGTTTAATAATTAATTAGGCCTTAAATTAATTATCTCCCACTATTTTTAACAAATCAATAACCCTCGATATTGATTCGGAGATTTCCGGCGAAACCTCTAGTGGGCCAAGATCCATATTTCATTATCTTGCGTTCCGCTTGGGCGTTACTCCACAAGACAACTATTTAGGTAGGAACATAGTTCCAACTGATGAGCCGGGCTCTCAACTCTTGGTCTGGTGTTGGGCGAACAATATTACTACAACCGGACCAGGACACCTTTTCACCATACTTGTAATTGGCTGAGGCACGTCTTACAAGCAGACTACTTTGGTTAGGAATAGAGTTCCAATTAAATCATAAAGATCCAACTCCTGGCTGGATGTGTGAGTAAAATCATCCGACTTGTCATTGATGACCCCAACTTACTGCCTCTGAGTCGTCCATCCATTTGATCGAGACTCAGTTAAGTCTAACCCAACGTGCGACAGTGACCACGCTATGGCGGTTCCCGTAACCAGCTTAACATACACTGTACTATGCTCTGCTGAGGCTGAGTACATGATAGTGCACATTAGCCGGATAGGTGCCGGGCGTCAGAAGGCAACAGACTTAATATTTGTGAGGGATTTATAATTTCGATCTCACCTATCGACATGGCCGCGCACATGTCCATTATTAGCGTTCAACATACATTCAACATGCATTCACACAACGCAGTAAATAAACGTGTAATGATTGTGGCCCCTAAAAGAAAAATAAAACGATAGCTCCCACGGGCTTCCGGGCACTTGGACATCGGGCTATCTCCATTCTTTTAGATTTCTTCAAACGGTCTTCAAATCTTTTCGTCTTCTAACCACCACGTGAGAAAAGAATCCTTGGTTGAGGTAAGAGAGAGAAATAGATTTACAACAAGAGTTTTTGAGATAAGGCACGACACGCAGGCCGTATTATAATCAAATAAACTATAGCCACAATCATTCACAATGCATATCATACATCCACACAAGCAATAGAGATATACATACACCGGGTGAACTGCGCTCACCCCAGACAGTTCTAGAAAAATACTACGGTAGTAAATATTTTCTAAAACTCATAAAATTAAATTAGATGTCCAAATAAATCTAATAAAATTTTTTATAAAATCATTTTATATACTCTGGATATTCTGCCAGCATAAAAACTCCAGAATATTCAAAATGACCAAAATGCCCTTTTTGCAAAATTATTTTCAACAAGGCAATAAAATTTCAAAACAATTTTTCCAAAATCATGAAAATTAAATTTAAACTTCCAGTAGTTATTTTTAGCATTTATAAACCTGGAAATAAAATTTCCAAAATTTATAAATCATTACTTCCAAAATATATTAGTTAAATCTCAATAAGTTATAAAAGGCCATTTAAATTATTTTTGAAAATATTAAATTTTAAAAAATTTAATATTTTGAAAAACATTCATTTTCTTACTGAGATATAACTTTCCAAAACATATATTAGTCATTTATGTAATTAAAATACAAATATATAAATATATATAATATTTCGGTAATAATACCGAGTACATATATAAATATATATTTATTTAATTACTAACTAATATTATTTTGTACAATATATTTGTCAACAACCTTATTCAACTTAGAAATAATATTTCTAAGTTTAATAAAGTCCTTTTTGAATTTTCCCATATTTATTTTCAGTTTTCACCTAAATAAATACAATAAATTCAAAATAGGAAATAATACATTCAAACATTACAATATAATTTTATCAATCATAAAATGATTTTTTATGTCCAAATAAAATTATATTTACTATTTCTACAATATATATAAATATATATTTCAAAAAATCAAAATATATGTATTTATATATATATATATTACGGGTAGAAATAAAATAAATAAATTTAAAATTCATTTTCAATGATTTATTTAAGTCCAATACTTATTCCAAGACTAAATAAAATCATTTTACCAATTTTTGAATTTTAATAATTACCAAGTTAAAACTTTGACTTTTAAAATTTTAAAAGTCAAACGTAAAACTATAGTTTTGTACATTGGCTCCGATACCACTGAAAGGTAACCATGCAAGGATAGGCAGCGGAATATAAAAATTTTAACATCCTAACATGATTATCTTGCCTAGAATCACATACTAAAACTTATAGTAAATAAGAAATTTATACCTTTCTCCGTAAGCGGTAAAAACGAAGAAGTCGTAGGAAGAGCGTTGAAAGTGCAAACATAACCGTTCTATGGTAGCCTCGTAGGAATCCTAAACTGCGTTGGACTCTATGGTAGCCTCGTAGGAATCCTTCTCCAGGAAGTCTTCTCCAGCACGTAGAGACGTAGAGGTAGACACGACTCTACACCCAATCAGCTAGATAATACGTACAAACATTCCTACTCTTTGTTTTTGTCACAAGGATAAGGCCAACAAAGAATAAATGATAGGCTCTCCCCCTTGGTAACTAACCCAAATAACTATAACGTCAGGGGTGTTCCCAAGAGGATGATGGAGGTTGTATTAGAAGAGCATATGTATACATACCAAAAACTTAACATAATTGTAATGGCAAATCATTTTAATTAGTGCTTTAAACGACTATCATCTACACTATTACTTCTTTGTTCAGAGGAAACCGTCTAGATTGTACATTGTGGGCTCATCATATTGATAAAGTGATTGAAAGACTAAATGAAGGATTGGGAAATCCACCAATATATACTATATTTAAAAAGAGGGGAAATTTTTTCCTGCCTAAATGCAAGAGAAATAAATAGAAAGTTTTATGCGTGTTACTTCATTGCATTAATTCTAAGAATTAATATTGGTAACTATTACTTTTACTAAATTACCTATTGGGAGAATATACAAAATGTCAAAGTGATCGATACTCCGTATATAGAAAGTGTGTGTTACTCGAGTAACAAGTGCGTAAGCATTAATATTGGTAAACATTAAAAATTATTATGTTTCCATTTTTTAATTGGGAGAATATATATATATATATATATATATATATATATATATATATATATATATAATAAAAAGGAGGTTTCATTAAGATAGAAGAAAAA